GACGATCCAGTAGAAGTTGTGTGCTAGCACACTAGTGTCTTCACCTTGCGGACGCATCGGCGCATCGGGGATGAACTCTATAGTCTCACCGGCTGCGATGATGGCGGAGCATTCCTCTGGAGAAAGTACGTCCTTGATCAGTCGGAGGTTGGGTACGATTGGGTGCTTGAAGCATTCTGTCTTGGGTCCTTTGCCGAGCAGCACAGCGTCGTCTTGGGAGGCGTAAAGGATTGCAGGGTGAAGGTTCGGTGGTTTGCGCTGCAGACCGGCGGTAGTTTCGATAATGCGGAAACGGTCCTTGAGGTCGGGGGAGCATGATTTGAAGATGCTCTTGTCTTCAACGCTTTGTCGAACTTGGCGAGTGGGTTTGCTGGTGCCTCGTAGATCCCAGGTGTCTTGTAATGAGATACCTGATGCGATGTCTATGCCGTGGGCTGTGGTGTCTGTCGGACCCGTGACTCTTAGTATTGAATCCAGCACCCCGATCAGTTCGTCGTTTTGCGCATTTGTACCGACCACTGTATGACTAGGGACCTGCACATGAATCGACAGTCCGGAGACTACGTCCAGAGTACGCACCCAACGACAAAGAGCACCTAGTGTTGGTGTGTCTTTCCTGATGCGCATCTCTGCCAACAGGATGAGGGCTTCTGTGTACTTGGCGTCTGTGAGCGCACCTGATATTCGCGCAGTGAGATTACTGCCATCTATTCTTACGCTTAGTCTTCCATGTTGAATCTAAGATATCAAACGTACCAGCTGAGTTCAGGCCGGTAGTACATGCTTGACGGAAGTCGTACACAGCAGTCCTCAGGTCTTTGCACGCTTTTGACTTGATTAGTAGTGGATGTGAGGATAGCGTTTGTAATGTCTCAACTGCGACCTCGATCTCTTCAGATGAGATGACCGAATGTACGCTTGCTGGCTCGAGTGGATTCGCATCTTGTGGTGGACTTGGAATGCTGTTCGGGTACTGCTTCTTTGCAGCCTGCAGTTGCGCATTCGCGCTACGTTTCCGCTTGGCCATGCTTGATGATTAATTTTCTAGACGTGAAACTGGAGAGCGGAATAGTATCCACCAAGGATGTGTCAGCGATTACCGTGACGGATGTGAAGTAGTCCGTCATGTACGTGCATGCCGAGGTTTACGGCGGCGAACGTAGAAATTTTGTGGTCTGTGCTCTGGACTAGGCGGGGCAATGCTGTGCAGGACTAGTGCGGAAAGGCCCGCTCTCCAGTCTCACCACCTCAGGATGCATGCAGGCGCATTACATCTACATTACATGTCTGAGCCTGAGACTCGAAAGATCCTACGTCTAACACAAATCTTGTTCGTCCGATGACTAATCCAACGGTCATGAGCTCATTCACTGCAAAAGAACTATGTATACCTCGATTGCCTACTGTATCCACAGCAGTGCAGTAGACTAGAAGCCCTGAGCCCACACACTCGGCAGTTCAACGGCGCTATGCAGGCTACGGGGTCTGAGACACGATTGACGGAACGGGGTTAACGACAAACAATGGGCCGACGTACGTGTTACGTGCGGATCGAGGGGTACATTCCAGAATCCTGAGTACTCAGGTATATAGATAACTCGGGCGATCGCCCTTTTCTTTTTCTTCACACATCTATACAAATTTTCGCTCATACACCTGTCTGAATATACTCTTACTTTAACATATAACCCCCACTTCGACATACATACATACTCACCAAAATGGCTTCCACCTCCTTCTACCAGGCCACCGTGCCCACCTTCAAGGGCATCGCCAACAGCGCTGTTGGCTTCCTCACAGCAGCCAAGGAAGAGCAGGCAAAGAACAGCTCGCTGCCCTCCGACCAGGACCTTCTCAACGCCCAGCTCGGCGACATGCTTCCCCTCCGCATGCAACCCATCCTCGTCGGCAAGTTCCCACTCGATGGCCTCACCACCCTGAAGCTCAACGGATCGGCCGCACCCCCTAACCTGGACCCCTCGTCATTCTCGTCCCTCGACGACGTCATCAACTTCTTCAAGCAGTTTGCTGCCGTCTTTGACGCCGTTGACGAGAAGGCTTACAACGAGAGCGCTGGAAAGAGCTTCGATGTAACCGTAGCGGGCAAGACTATGACTATGTCTAACTTGGCTGAATACTACAACAGCTTCGTCATTCCCAACAGTTAGTATTACCCTCGATGGAACTACATGTTAAATGTAGAATGTATGCTCACACGGACTTTCAGGCTACTTCCACCTCAACGCCATGTACATGCTGTTGAGGAGCAAGGGATTCACTCTTGGCAAGGGCATCTACGTCAAGCCTTTCTTCACCGAGCAAGCGAAGAAGGACTGGGCCCCGTTGATGGGTTAGAGAGCGCCATATGCTGAGCTGCGCTGTGTCTATTTAGCGAAAAGACTCGATAATCAAAGAGCACGCATTGGATAGAAATGGAATGAATGACATCACATCAATCTAGTCGACAGAGGACAACTAGACCTGCCTGCACCTATTAGTTTTCTTGCTCGTATGGAAGTGAGTGTCTAATATATGAATGAGTACACAGAACAGAAGACATTGCCAGAATGTCTGTCAGCCTGCAGTGCTGATGTTCATTGTTCTTATCAGCTACTTTACTTGTCGAAGGCATCTCTCAGCTTCTCAAAGTGTGCCCTCATCTCTTCCCCAAGCTTTCCTTCAACATCTGCCAAAATCGTACACACCAAGCTATAGTTGTTACACAAGAACCTTTCCCTCTTCCGCGCATCGCTGATACCCTTGCTCAGCTTGGTGAGGTAGGCTTCGTACTCGCTCCTCAGTCTGCCCACGGATACACTGACTGGCTCGTCGTCGCCTGCTTCCGAAGAGAGAGCCAGAATGCCTTGGAGAAGGTTTGCAAACTTTTGTGTGAGAGGTGTTGGCGCTGTGGAGGTAGCGGTGGAAGAGCTTGAGCCAAGTAGCGCCGCACCGGTCGAAGGTCGGCCGGGTAGAGATGCAGTGACTTTCTGGAGTGAGGTGCAATGCATGTCCAGAACCTGCTGGAACCGTGGCCAGAGTAGCATATTGGTTGCGTTGATATAGCCTTCCACCGTCGGCACCTTCCTACGTTGTAGTTCGAATGCGAAGTGCTGGTTGAGTCGTACACACAGGAGTATACCAAGCGTGTCTGTTGTTGCTTCAACGAGCGACTTTGTAACCGCTTGGCCGACTGCTAGCGTAGGCTCGAAGATTGAGTTAAAGGTTCGTGAGATCGCGTGAAAGTTTTGTGATGGGGCGAAGTATGTAGATATGAAGGTGTACTCAAAACATGCGTTGTCGACGAGTGCGAGGTTGAAGCTGCGGAAAGGGACTTCGAGGTAATGCGGCGACTTCTCGTCCTCGGCAACGTTCGCTGGCAAGGCATTGACAGAGGAGCTCTTCAGTGCGTCGCGACGTCGTCCGAGAGAGAAAGCGTCGTATGCAACTGGTGCGTTTCGAGACTGACCGAGCAGAGTTCCAGCTCTTCTCGCACTGGGATCTTCGCCCAGAACATCATACCTGTCCATAGCATGCACTTTGATCTTTTCGAGCGCGGTTCGGTATCGGCTGAAGTGGTTGAGGTAGTACCACCGCATGGTATATATGTATGCCTGCGCTATCTGTTGCGCAAGCTCTGCCTGGTGTTTCGCGAGGAAAGAATACAAGTCTTTATATTTTAGGAATGCTTGCTGTTGGATGATCTGCGCATTAATGGAAGGTGAACGGATGGCCTTGATCTGGGCGACTATATAGTCTCGTATTCGTTCAACGGCGCGATTTATGAGATCGTCCAGCAGGGGCTTGACGTCCTTTATGGCCATCAAGTCTGGATGTTCTTTGGCTTTGTCGTTGACTGTCTTGGACCGTTTCTCGACTTCTGCAAGGGCACGCACGAAGCCGTCATCGACCAGACCTTCAGCGATCTTGCGCACGACAGCTGGTGATATGCTGATGTCTTCGACCGCCGGTCCCAGCAGCTTCTCCACTACTTTTCGGTTTTCCAGCTTGGTGTTCAGAGCAATGGACCGGTTCTGGAGTGATTCTATCTCTGCAGATACGGCCTCGAGATCCGACTGGAAGTTTGTCAGGTTTGCTTCCACTGACTTGAGCACCTCATCGCACGCCAGTATCGACTTGTGTAGGTCCTCAAACTTGTCTTTGTCTTTGTCATCTGCAAGCACAATGAGCAAAGACCTGGGACTCTGAGCATGAAAACATACATTCTTCGACTGACTGCGCGCTATATGTATGTACAGAAGTGGGCTGCTGTCGCTCTGCGGTCTTCGCCGCTGCGAAATCGTGCAAGCTCAGGTCCCCGAAATCAATATCCTCCTCTACCACTTCAGGCTTCTCCAATATACGCGTCGAGTCTTCCCCGTTCGTGGCAGGCGGGTTGCGCGGCGGTCCTCCCATAATCGAGTCTAGCACGTGTATGGGATCTGGCACGTTGGGCGGAACACCCCCTGTCTGGCGCCTACGTGGCCCGCCATTTGGCATGCGCGCGGATAGAGGCAGGCTCGCAGTCGAAGCATTGGGCGATATGAGGGGCGTCAGCGAAGACGATCGCGGATTCAGCCCCGGCCTCACGGGTTGCGCGGGTGCTGGATAGCCCCTTCGGGGAGCGGGCGAGTACGAGTCGCGTCGTGGAGGCGGCGTGCCGGTGGGCGTCGAGTACGAAGAGAGCCTATCTAGACCCCACATGATGCCTACTGGGTCGCAATCAGTTCAAGGGTGCATGCTAAGAATCAAACACGGATAGCGAGGTCTGAAGGTAGTTGTAGAGCACCTCGATTCACATAGCAGGCCCGGCGATTGTTTAATCCGCGAGCTAGACAGGGATTCGCTAGCGCCACCTTCCCCTCCGCGCCTGCCCAATTTTGCCCACGCAAAAGACTTCTCTCTCCATCTCCATTTAAGGACACTGCCCACCCCACTGCCCTTCGCCCAGCAGCCCGAACTCAGCCTCTCCTCCCCGTCGCATCCAACTCTCATTCATCACCATGGCGGACAACAACGACGCGCAGGTACGTCCCTCGGAATTCAGCCCCGCATGTGCTCTTACCCCACCCTTCGGAGCACTGTCGCCAGCTGCGCTCCAGCTTCGCACCCTCTTGCGCCGCCCTCTTGCGCCCTATACTGACGCCGCAAATTATAGCATGAGCACACCTTCGACTCCGCCGATGCGGGTGCCTCCACCACCTACCCCATGCAGTGCTCTGCCTTGAGGAAGAACGGTTTCGTCTGCATCAAGAACCGCCCCTGCAAGATCGTCGAGATGACCACCTCCAAGACCGGAAAGCACGGCCACGCCAAGGTCCATCTGGTCGCCATCGACATCTTCACCAGCAAGAAGCTCGAAGATCTCTGCCCCTCCACCCACAACATGGACGTTCCCAACGTCACCCGTCGCGAGTACCAGCTCGTAAGTGGCCCATGAGGCTCCAATGCGACGCCTGAGCTAACACGCGAACTAGCTCGACGTTACTGACGACGGTTTCCTCTCCCTCATGTCCGACGACGGCTCCACCAAGGACGACGTCAAGATCCCCGATGGTGAAGTTGGTGACAAGATCAACAAGATGTTCACCGAGGACGGAAAGGACACCAGTAAGTTGCACTCGGAACAGGCGATTTTTGGGCCTTGCTGACATACCACCAGACGTCATTATCCTTACTGCCATGGGTGAGGAGGCCTGCATCGACGCCAAGGAGGCTCCCAAATAAGCGCATCGCTCAATACGTAGACTGTTTGGCAGGAAGCAAGGTGCGGACTGCAGACAGATTACAAACGGGGCTGCAACACTCTTTGCATATTGCGTGCAAAGTTGTAGCTCCGCGGCAAACGTAGCATTCTCCCGTGCGATTTGCACTAGGCGACCAATGCACGAGGTTCTTCGGATGGTTTTGGGTTCTTTGCATTGCCATGTCTGGGAAACGTATTACGATGCATTTCCCTCTTTAGATATATCCCTTACGCTTCTGGCAATGAATAAAAGGTGATGACTTTACGGCAAATGTCGCGTCCCTCATTGGTAGAAAATTCGTGTGACTGGTTGCCGGATCCGCGCTAGTTGCCGGCGAACTTCGATCTCGTGTAACCTGGACCACAACTATAGCATGTGACGCAGCACTCGAACGCACTTGATCTCACTCGCAGCCTCGTTACCTTGAAATATCTGCATCCACTCTTTCCATATTCGGGTACACCGCCAAATCCATTCAAGCCTCGTTTATGTCGACTAAAGGCCCCGTTTGTGGCGTAGAAAACTGCCGATCTAGACGCTACGAAGAAGGCGAAGACGGCTTCTTGTATTGTCAGAACGGCCACCAACAGGCTGGCTTAGTCCGCGGAGAAGATGACGATGACTACGTAGGGGCTTCACGAACAGTCACGCGCAAGAAGAAAGAGACGGAGGATGACGCCAAATCCACTGGTAAAATTTACAAGGGCGCCCGAGGTTTTGATTTATACTTGAAATGTCTGCAGCTCGTCCTGCGACATCAACTTTGGTTCCTCATCAAGGATCGAGGATTGCCTGTTGAACTTGAAGCAGTTACACGCGATCTCTGGTCGCTGCGCATTGCTCAACTTGGAGACCGGATCGCGAGTCAGGATGAAGAGTCCTCAGAGTCACAGAGTCAACAACTTTTCAGCACCATGGAAAGCGAGGATGATGCCACAGATACTGAGAAGGGTCATCTCAGAGATACCAAGGGAAAAAGGAGCATGAGGTTAGCCGCCGCACCCAATCTCAACGATTGTCTAGTCTTGTGCTACCTTGGTATCTTGACACTAAGGCTGCCGTTCACACCAGGCGATGTCTATGCGTGGGTCATTGATGGCAAACTAGCATATCGCAGAGCAATCAAGCTACTGCCACTCGCCATGAGAGATCGACTGTTACCTGCCTACCGTGCTGTTCTCGATCCGAGCGTATCACTTACTTACACACGATTTTACAAGACGCTCATAGACCTACAAATGAGCTACAGCAAAGACCACGGTATCACTTGGCCAGCTCTGAACGTGCCGCTCCTTCTGTTCCGCTATCTGAAAGAGCTTGCCTTGCCACTGGAGCTTTACGATGCAACAAAACGACTCGGCGACTTGCTCGGCTATGACTTCGCTCCTCACCACGACGGTAAGAAGCGTCTGAGTATACGGCATCTCGCTGAGGCGCAACTAGTGAGCTCCCTCGTCATATGCATCAAGCTACTTTATCCTCTCGACGATGAGAAGCGTTATCCGAAATCCTCTTCCGAACCAACAGCGGCGGCGATGAACTGGGAGGTGTGGCGGGAGCAGATGAAGGCCGCGGAGGAAGCCAGGCGAGGAGGAATGGGACGCTTCACTACCGAGGAGTTGACAAAGGTGCAAGAGAAGGATGTTCTCACGATGGGCCCTGAAGAGATGGATCAGTACCTGGACTTCTACGCCACCGAGTATCTGGATGATGCCGAAATTCAGCGCACCAGGGATGCTGATGACTTCCGACATGCGCTGTACAATATGTTTCCTATCGACACTACAACACTTCATCCTCCACAGGAGGCATCCCACACTTTACCATTAAACGAAAAACTGGAGGTGATAAAAGTGGTTCAGGGCGCAATGGAGACAGTCTCAGTGGTAGCCGAGGAGAACACTGAGATACTTAGGATAGGGCAGGCATACCCGATTTGGAAGACGGAAGATGATATTCCAGATGTAGCAAAGACGCTGTACAGAGAAGCTGCAAAGATCGCAGGGCTATCGATGAACATGCTCATATTAGCGGTCGGTTCCACGGAAGCAAGGGTTGAGCAGTGGAAGAAAGCACAGAAGAGGCAAGCTTGAGGTCGGCACGTGCATGTAATAATACAAATCCAAAGCGTGACTATCACTTGCCAAACAGGTGTCTTCTTTGAATTAATGCACGCTTGATGCGCCGGTTTGGAGTGATGGAAGGCGTCACACGTGAGGGGCGCTTGACGTGAGCTAACGCTTGCCGGCCTAGCATGGGTGTCTGTGCGCGCACACAGTGTGGAATTCGTCTACCACTTCCGCCCTCAACCTCGATACTGAGATCACGGAACACCGCAACACCGCCAAAGATGCAGATCTTCGTGAAGACCCTGACGGGCAAGACCATCACGCTCGAAGGTATATCTCGGCTGCACGAATTGCAATGGGCCCCGCGCTGACTTATTCGCAGTTGAGAGCAGTGACACCATCGGTACGCACACCCCCAATGCCACTCGACGGCAGTACTCCGCACCGCGCCGCATCGCATCGCATCGCCCGCGCTTGCAAAACATGTAGAAGAGGGAGGATAGCAGCTGACAGCGGGCAGACAACGTCAAGTCCAAGATCCAGGACAAGGAGGGCATTCCCCCGGACCAACAGCGCCTGATCTTCGCCGGAAAGCAGCTCGAGGATGGCCGCACTCTGTCCGACTACAACATCCAGAAGGAGTCCACCCTCCACTTGGTCCTCCGTCTCCGTGGTGGTATCATTGAGCCTTCGCTCAAGGCCCTTGCCTCCAAGTACAACTGCGACAAGATGATCTGCCGCAAGTGCTACGCACGCCTACCACCGAGGGCTGTCAACTGCGTACGTCATGAGAAAATATCTGTTCCTTGAACCAGGAACGGTTGGGGCATCGGACTTTGACTAACAACACCACAGCGCAAGAAGAAGTGCGGACACACCAACCAGCTCCGCCCCAAGAAGAAGTTGAAGTAAACTACTCGCCTCTATCGGCGTCTGGCGAAGAGAGCAACGGGGTCGGTGGAAACGAATTGCAACGATTGCATGCGATGGATATGAGGGCTAGGTCGCTACTACTTCTTCCACGGCACATGGCATCAATGGCGTGCTTGTCTTGTCTCGCATCTGAGACTTTATGAAGGGAATCAGGCATGTAGAGTGAATCGATCAAATTCAAACACCACCAGCTTCGACTCTATTGTTACCCATACTGCTATGTCGTGTTGCGCATGTTTGACAGTCTTGCAACAGGTCACGTGAGATCGCGTCACGAGCGTATCTATGACGTCACCGATCATACCGCACGGCGTTCAAACGCCAAAAGCCTGGAAACGCACTGATGGATCTGAACTCTTGAACTGTGGTGCTCCATGTCGTATGAGCCCTGAGATTTCGATTCAAGAGGCCATGGCCGTGTGTCACATATGATCACATCAACATGCGATAGTTTTTGGATTTTCGTTGATTTGATCGTAGAAAACATCGGATATACAGGTACACAAATTTTCTCTTGCTCGCATACTAAACACTCGTAGATATGAAATCGAACGTCTTCGCCATCATTGCTGATGATCGTCGCAATAAATACCGTGAGGCCGGGCTGCAGTGCCATTTCTCGACACAGTTCCCTATTCGTCACTCTCACCGTAAACCAAGAGCGCCACCGGACGTATAGCGCAGACGCCGATCCAAAAATGTTTCGTATCCAGCAGGTAAAAGGAAGTACACATCATCTCTTGTTCAGAGAAGACCGTACGTGTAAACAAGAAAAGGGTAAAACTCGAAACTCCGAGATACAACGAGGAGCGTGAAAATGGTATCGTAACGCCTCGCTATGCATATAAAAACAGGGTAGAATTCAAGAAGTGTAGGTAGTATGAGCGCGGCCGACGAAGGGCTCGGTGGCGGACGTGTGCTGTCTGGTGTGGTCGCGGCGGTGGTACAAACGCGGAAAAAAACGGGTATAGTTGAAGGGAGTTTGCCATCCGGGATGGCATGGGCGATGCGAACAGGGAGGTGCTTAGACACGAGGCTTCTTCCAGTAATATTGCTATAACTGGTTAGCGATTGATCTTGAGGAAGACATTGATGAACAACGGGTGTAGGGGCTGGTGAGTGTGACGTACCTTGTGTGTCTTCCTTACAGACCGCAGTCCGGTGCTGCGTGTACCGGCGGTGATGGTTTCACGCCTCATCTGGTTGGTGTCCATCTCAGGGACGTAGTAGAACTCGTTCTCAAGCGGTTGGCCAGCGGCATCCTTGCCGGCACGGGGGATCTCACCAACACAAGGAGTGTCGTCTAGGATCCTCTTGAGCTCTTGTCTGGAGAGCTGAGGAAGGGGCGTGGATGCGCCGTTGCCCTCTTCATCCTTGCCATCTGTGCTCTTAATTGCACAAGCCTTCAATTCGGCAGGAAGGTTGCTGTGGATGGCGGAGAGTGGCTGCGAGTGGATACGAGAGAACGCCAACTGGTTGATGACGTGATTCTTGATGGGCGACTCTTTGAACCGGATAGGCTCCGTAACACGACGTCTGGGAGACGGCGATAGTAGTGGTCCGCGCATACGGGGAGCGTTGGGCTGTGTTGGCGTAGCTGTATTGAAAGAGGCCATACCGTTGAGCAAGTTCTGACCGAAGGGTCCGAATGAGTGTACAACAGGGTCGTTCTCTTCGTCGTTGTCGGAGAAGTCGTCGGCAGCGAAGTTGATACTCTCCTTGGGGTCGATGACAGGACGAACTTCGTGACTAGACCGGGAGCTTGGGAGAGAGGGGCGGATAAAGGTCTGGTCTGCAGAGCCTGGGGTCTTGACGCCAGGGCTATCTACACTTGCATCGGCATCTTCAAACACTTGAACAGGGCCGGACTGGGCATTCGAGCTGAGGCCCGCGAAAACCGGGGGGCGGATAGGGCTTTGAGAGACAGGCGAGCGTGGAACAACAGGAGGACTAGAAGCCAAGTTCTCTTGGGTACGCG